TTTTTCATTCTCTACCTTTGCTTTTCTTATAATTTTTATTACTTTCTGAACTTCACATTGTAATCTTTCTGGTCTTCCTCTGTACTTGATGTTTAATAGCTCACATATGCCTCTTTTTTACACTTGATTAATTGAGAGTGGGCTTGTTCATCATAGTGTGAATGTATTTCTTTCAAACCTGCATATCAGATTGCCCTTGGGTATATACTAATTTCAGTTTTGCACATTTAAAGTTTCTCATCAATGTTCTTGTCCTCTCCATTACTTTTCATTCATCTCCTCCCACAGACTTCTGAAACTCAGACCGAAATTTCAGAAAACTGTCTGCAAGCTCAAAAAGAAAAACTTATCACATGCAACACCACTGTGACCAAGTCACCCTGGGTATGCCAAGCTCTCAGCCAATTTCATGCCTTTCCTATGCTTAGGATCAACAGAGAGCAAACTGGAAGTGGAAGCATCTTGAGGGCTGAGGGCGTCTTCAGCCAGAGGAGGATCATCAGACTGGAGCATATCTCTGCATTGCCCTTTCTGATACTGCTGTACTGATACTCCCTCCACATGTGAGGAAGTAGGCAAGTGGGTGATATATCAGCTATATACCACATTGGGGTAATAGTCTATCAAGGAGATAATTAGCTCAATGCCTTGTTTGCACCACCAAAGTAGAGGAAAAGCAAGTTCACAATCTGTCCTGTATTTTAGATCACCTATTCTCTGAGCTGAAACGGGACATCATGTAAAAGACATTTCAAAATGTCTTTGGGTCTACATCACTTTCAGCAGTGATGTCCAGACATCTAGAGCAGAAAATAAACAAAAGGATATGATTATAAATCTACATTTTTATCTCCACTCACTCGCATTGAAAGCAGCTGTTTTGATTATGTAAGCTGAGAACTGTTGAACAAGGCAGCAGGCATGGACTTCCACACACAGCAGTTCACCCAGGGTGTCTCTGTAGGTGATGTTCCTCTCATCTCCTCTAGCCTCCACATACAATGTCCAGCACCCAGCAATGCTATGAAAACTTAGAGCCTCCCATGAGGGCCTGTAATGAACAAGTGGCACCCACTGTCTGCAGTTCCTGCAGGATAGATGTGTGTGATTAGATGGATTAGCTCTCATGAAAATGATTTAATCTTCATAAAGTATTTTTCAGCATAATGCAGACCATTTTTCTTTTTAGATAAAATTTTCTCTTAGTAAACTCTGCTCACATGTACAAACCACAGCCCTGACTATCACAATGCTTCTGAGGCCAAAGCTGTCTTTCACAACCGCCCCACAACGAGGTCATGCCTGGAGACCAACTCTGGTCTCAGAGGAGAGTGTGAGCTGCCCACCTACTGCATCTCACAGCAAGGGTAAGCTCAGAAACAGGGAACAAGGGAGCACGGTTTCTACTATATGCTCCTGTCAGCACCCAGAATAACAATGTGCCAAAAGAAGTAAATTTTGCAGTGGATAGGGCTGGAGTATCTTGCTTTCTTACCCAAAGAGGGGACAGAAGAAAAAGCCATGGCCTGTGCTCTTTGCACTGCTGAGTCTGCACAAACACTGCATACCCATTCTCATTAGCATTCATTCATATAATCCTTAACAAGATAAACTTATGTCCTGGTTTCAGCTGTGATAGAGTTAGTTTTCTTCTTAGTAGCTGGTACAGTGCTGTGTTTTGGATTTAGTATGAGAATAATGTTGATAACACATGGATGGTTTGGTGGTTGTTGAGCAGTGCTTACCTTAAGTCAGGGACTTCTCAGTTTCCCATGCTATGCCAATGAGGAGGTTCACAAGATGGTGGGAGGGAACATGGACAGGACAGCTGACCTGAACTGGCCAAATGCATATTCCATACACAGAACATCCCGTGGCTGCTGCTCTGGGGCAGGTTGGGCATCAGTCAGTGGGTGGTGAGCTATTGTATCATAGAACACTTGTTTCTCTTGAGTTTTGTTTCTCACTCTCTTTCCTTTCCATTACTATTATTATTGTTGCTGTTATGATCAATAGTATTAGTATTATTATATTTTACTTTGTTTCAACTATTAAACTGTTCTTATCTCAACCCATGAGTTTTAATTTTTTTTCCTGATTCTTCTCTCCACCACAGCGGGGGAGGAGCCAGTGAATGAGCAGCTGAGTGGTACTTAGTTGTCAGCTGGGGTTAAACCACAAAACTTAATATAAGAATATTACATGTTTTATAGATTGGCAAATAGAGTACAAGGAGTATCAATATTCTAACTCTTGTAAACATGTGTTGCAGTTAAGGCCCTCCTCCTGTACAGATAACACAGACCTTTTGATTTACTGTGAGTTCAGTGAAATGGCTCAGAATAGAAGAAGTTCGTCACATACATACATCTTTGCAACAGTAGTAAAGTTTTTTACCATATATAAACATTTATATACCATTCCTTATAGTAGATGGCACAGTATCAATTGAATTTTCAGCATTATTTCCCATCCCTCTTCCCAGCCTTATTTTTTTCTGCGCCACAGAAAAATCTATGTAAAGTAGAAAAATTTGAGAAACCAAATTTTCAGGTTTCAAATACATTCTGATGCTTTGAATTCTGAGACCTAGTCCTGCCCTTTGTGGTAATATCTTGAAACACCCTCATACAGTCAGATAACAATTTGCAGAAGCTTTCATTCAGATTCATAGTGTAGTGTACTAGCAAATAATACAGATTTTCATAAGGAATAATTTTCTGAAAGCAGCCTACCCTTTCTTTCATAGACTTTCCATGTGAGATATCATGCTGCAGTTATTCCCAAAGATTGTTTTTATTGATGTGGTTTATAGTAGTCCTTTTCTTGGAACTCCAGACATAGAGAGCCACTTGTACCTAAACGCAAGAGGGAACATGGTCCCTACCCCAAAGCCTTCATTCTCCATTCAGCTGTGTATGGGGAGAGACAATTCAGCAGAGAGTACCTTTGAATAATGAAATAGATAATAGAAAATAAAGAATTCTGGGTAAAAGAAAAAAAAAAAAGGAAAATTAAAAAAAGCAGCACAATCTTATTAACAGCCTAAGAAGTGCATTAAAAAAAAATCTTCAACGGAGATGGTATCTTCCTACCTCCTGTGGAAGATGGTTGTTAAAAGAGATGCAATATGGGTCATGTTTGACTTGAGTGTGGCTAGAAAAGCCCTACTCACTGTCACATCTGTGCACCCCCTCACAGCAGAAAGAGATGACAGCATAAGCTCCTCCAGTCCTTATGGCATGCAGAAATTCACCATTTTTTCCTAGCTATTCTTTTTTGTCTCTTACAAAGTTCAGATTGAGCCCTGAGGGCACTAACAAAGGAAAAAATGCTTCACAGCATTTTCCCCTTGCTATTGCTTTGGGGTATGTGTAAGATGAGATCAAGTCAGTATTACATGCAGAGCATTCTTAATTCACTGTGTGGTCTGTGGGCAGACTTGAATTTGATGATTTACTGCATTTTGAACAGAAGCACTCTGAAGTGAATTCAGGAGGCACTCTCAACATATCAGCTGGGTATTTGCCATATAGTCTTCTTGCAGACTGAGAGAAAAGAGGAAAGATTTAGTTGTCTGCCTTTGGTTGCCTCCACCCGAAAACTGTGAAAAGCCTGGTGTCTTGCTGCAGAGAGCAGTTTTTGCTACAGTTGACTGCCTTCCTCTTTCTGATTTGCCCCAGGAGTAGGGGAGGTGGCAATGCAGAGGTGTAGGCATGCCCCTACTGACATCTCTGCCTCTGGTCCTTACAGACGTGTCTTAAGACTGCATCGTGGTGGAAGGTTGCCTGTAAAAGGACAACGTAAGCAATAGCACCATGTGCTGAAGTGGCGAGCAATTGCTTGATTGTGATAAGGAACTAATGGTGTCAAACCTTAAAGCTGTAGGATAGAGTTCATCTTTGCAGTTGCAGATGAAAGTAAGGCATCTCCCTTCCATAATGAAAAAGTATTTAATGCAACAAATAAAATGCCTATCTCTTGACCAGAAACACCTCAGATCAAAAAGCCACAGACGCAGCCTAGTCACCAACACTGCTCAGGAGGATCTGCAAACAAAGGGAATTCCTGTCTTGCTCTGATCTGGTTCATCCACATGCCATGGCTTTAAGGTAGGCCTTTTATCAGGATTTTCAGAAGAGAGGAACAGACATGCACAAAAGCTTCCAAAGTCATCAAGGAAAACTGAGGTAGCAGGAACTGGATCACCAAAATGGTATCAAGTGTCCCATGTTCTCTTGTCAGTATCTGTGTTTTTACAACCAATTTCTCTACACTCTTTTCTTCTCTCACCTCCCTCCCACTCACAATCCTTACCAAATTGTTCTTCCTTTGCCAATGACCTGCCTAATTGATGTATTGACAGATTTTAAGGCCAAAAGAAACTATCGTGAGCCACTAATCTGTGTTTTAGGAAACCAAAGTGCTTCAGTCAGCAATTCCTGCACCAAGTCCATGGCTTTGGCCAGAACACTACTTTTAAACTGACAACCAGCATTTTTTGGGATTTTTTTACTCATCGCTTTTGATTAATTTTTTTAATCCCACTTCTGGATCATATCTATTAAATTTCTATATTGCCATTAAAAAGAAAACTGATTGACCCAAACTGATGTTAAATTCACAAATTCATAAACTAAATTCATAAGCTGAAGAAATTGTGATGAAGATTTTATTTCCTACTTCATTATGTTTACATTAAAAACATCTCTTTATCACCAGATTTAGAAATCTAGAAGTATATTAGAACAGTTACATAACATACTAGCTAGTGCTCCACTAGCTAGTGTCCAAGATTTCTAGGTGCAGACAAATGATAGAAAACTCCAAAATGAAACCGGATATTGACATACAGTGAAGTTTCTACATTGGATTTCCTCAGAGAATCAGTTTCTTATCTGCTATTTGGAATGTTGTATCTTTAGAGATGTCTGCCTATAAAATGCTGCATGATTATTACACCTGTCTTATTATTAAACAAGTCATTAAATCCATAATGCTTTATAAACAGTAGAAATTATATTGTTTCAACATCTACTATACGGATCCTGAAAGGGTCCTGGTGTTCATTTCCTATCTGGAAGCTACATGACTATTGCAGACAAGGCTCAGGAATCATATTCATAGTGTTGTATCTGTAACTAAAAAAAAAAAAAAAAAGAGGTTTAATCTTATTTCAGAAATGAGATAAAATTACAACATTACAGACTGTAACATAATATAGGAAGACTTTCCACCCTGCAATAGTCCTCAATAAGCAGGGATGGCTAAATAGATGCTTAAATAGATTTATTTGATATGCTGGTGATTCCTTCCCTAGCTCAGGTATAACTACACAGTGCTGTACAGACAAAATCTAATCAGTTTTGCTGAATAAGGATAAATTTCTGAATGAAAGCCAACACTTAGTTTAATTCTCATATTCACAGATATCACTAAAGTGTCTGTGTCCTGTGACTATCTTGCCTATGAGAAATAGTTGTCCATTATTTGGAAAGCAAGCTAAAAGATATAAGGAAAGCTCATCAAAGAGTCAAAGCATGTTACATCCACAGTTAAAACATTTTAAAGGATCATAGTTATTAGAAATTCAAGTTTTTCAAGTATTAAAAATAAATCTTTAATTCCCCTACAGATTCCTAGTATCCAGAGTATTTTATAGAAACATCTGGATAAAGGAATAAAGGCAAATCCATTGTGTTTCTAGACATTCCTGGAGCACTGATGTTCTTGAGATTATGCTATTGGATTACTGGTATAAAAATAATAAATATTTTCAGTACTTAAAGCTGTAATGCTTTATGTTGGATTTGAATTTTGGTCTCATTTTAGTAAAAGGTGGATGGATATTCACAGTCTCTTCCTTAGCCAGAAGGATGTAGGGAGTTTATTGCTTAGTGACCTATATTTTTCTCCTCTACAATATTTGTAAAGTTATTTAGCAACTTTCCTGCCCTTCAGTCAACCTTTCAAAATAGCTGTCAAGACAAAAAAATGCTTAAGTCTCTGTTCATCATTCCTGTGACATATGAAAGTGAGGGTTTCTTAATCTATGCTAAGAATGCTGCAAAATATCCCCGTCTGCACAAGATGCATTAATTTGTGTTTATTGTTTTACATGAAGGGCAATAATACATAAAAAAAAAAAAAGCTCAGTCTCACATGGAAGAGGTGAGAGAGGCACTGAAGTGAGGTCTGTGGATATGTTTTCACAAGGTTTTGCAATATTACAAATATATTTTCTACAGGTCACTAAGCTAACCGGGAACTTATTGATAAACTGGCTCAGGCTCCTGTTTGTTAACAGAAAATGTATACAACCCTTGCCAGAGGTCCAAGGATTAAACAGTTATAAATTTTAGCCTGTGCCCAGAATGTCGCTCCACCATAAACACATGGTATCGTTACACACCCACCCTGAGCCTTTCACTGAGAGGAAAGCAGAGGGTGCAGCGGCACAGAGCAGGCTTTCAAAGCTCCATTTGTGCAAGGTCTTCACCCTTCCTGCTTACCATTTCTCTAGGGAGAAGCAGTGTGTTGTGGAAAGTACTGGTAACCAAAGACAGCAATGCAACAGCCTAAGCCCTATGGCTCCAGCCCAGTTCTTTCACTTTATCCCCTTTACTGTTCCCTCTCCTGTTGTTGCTTTTTTTTTTTCTTTTAACATGCAAGTTGCCATGAAAAATTTGTTAATGAAATATTTGCTTAGAAGTCTGCTCTGGGCTAGGCTGATAACCTATCTGTGTTTGAGTTTGGCTTCCCATATTCTAAATACTCATCTTCTCTCTGTTTAGCTTATTGATTGGTTTGGCAGGAAAAGCAGCCTTGTCATCAGTGACCAAGGTCAAACCAAACAAAAAGGGACAGGAGGGGGGGAAAAAAAAGGAAAGAAGAAGTTGGATGGATGAGCTCAGCGAGACAGGAGTGGAATATCTGACCTCTCGCAACTTTCCTTTGGGAGATGGATCCTGGCCTGCCCAGGAGCCTACTGGCTTTGACAAGGTCACAAGAAATCACTGACATCATCAGAACCAGCATCTGTAAACCGCAGGAGAGCCTAGAGCCACGAGTCAGGCAGAACCAACAGAGGGAAGAGGTGAACACAACCACACCAAGGCTGGGTACAAATGCTCACAGGAATATGTCCTGAGAGCTCTGGTGCAGAGTAAATGGGGTGCTGAGTCAAATATCTCAAACATCTAAAATTAGAAACTTGAAGCCCATGTCTACATATGCAAGTAGAAGTCACCTGTTCCCAGAGGTGTCTGAAGCTCTGTTTCAGAGAGCACAGCAGCTGCACAAAAAAACAGGAGTTAGTGGTTTGGTGTTTTTTTTGAACGCACTAGGTATGGGTTTATATATCTAATTCTTCAAACACAGTTTACAGATTTTGGTCTCAACTTTTCAGTTCTACTCCTAACACCTAGAAACACAAATCTGTGGAAAATGAGTCAGGAAGTTTACAAAGGGCTAACGCAGACACATGTAAGATGTAAGCACAGGCTCTCAGCAAGGCAGTGGATACCTTCCTGTCATGCCAAGTTCAGCCTTATTTGGAGGGAGCTTTATTTTACCTGAAAGTCCCAGTTCACTAAATGCATTCAATGCCTTCTTAGCTATACAGTGCATTCTACCCAAAACCGCACATAAATCAATGAATTATGTCCAGAACTGTATTAAACTCATCGGAAAAAACTAAGTATAAGGTTACACCACACTACATGGCCTTTTCAAGCCACCTTGTAAAATATTCTTATGTTTATGTAATACAGTGTGAACAGCAGTGTTTAATTTCACAGAAGATATGTGAAACTAGATCAGAGAAGGTTATATCATGGCTAAGCAAACTGAGATCAACTGTACTGTAGCGTAGTACCTTACTGTAAAGAAAATGTATATTCTGGTTTTTGCATACTGTACAGCTGAGGTGTTCTGAAAAGAAGCTGCAACAGAATAGACCCGCTAAATAAAATACCAGGCAATATTGTTATCTGGTACAATACATTCATGTTAGTGGCTTTACAAGTGAATAAGACGCTGCCAGAGGCTAATAATTATGTGACATGAACTGACTGTTAAATCCTGCAGTCTTTACTCAATATTTATATAGTTCTGACTTGTGGGGAGTTCAGCTTGATAAATGCCAGAGTAAAAGAAGTAAAATAGAACTAAATCTATTCCCAGGTTTCTCTTTAATCTTGTTTCTTTCCTTCTCACTAAGGAACTAATTCAGTGATCAGTATGTTATTCACAGGATACTGGAAACACTATTTTAGCAGAAGTACTTCATAGTTTATAGCACCTGACCATAGCAGTTCTGAAATTCAGCTTCCCTGACCCAGCTCAACATATGAGAGAGAGGAGTCCAACTTCCTATCTCCCAGCATGGTCTCATTAACAAACTGAACAAAAAGTGTCCCCACCACAGCAAAGAAAATGGATGCAGAAAGAAGCTGTTTGTCTATAGAAGATGGTGCCAGTTTATCAAGGAAATAATTTTTTCCACATCCCAACACACATTTCTTTAAAAAGACCACATTTTTCAATGAATGCAGAAAGGAAAACAATGTTTTTGCACACAAGGTACTGGGAACAAGGTTATCTGACAACTGTTCAATTTGCATAAGCAAAGGCCAAAGACTGTACAAGTACATAGACCTCTATTTTTAGCAAGAGTGAGTTGTTTTGGTGATCCAACACTGAAACACATTGCAGAGGATGATTTTAAGGATGGGGTGCAGGCAACATCTCTGAAAATTAGGCCCTGTAAAAATGCACAATTGGGAGCTCTCAAAATCATTAGTTGTTCTTCATCCTTTGGGATGGGAGGACCTGACCTTCCCAAAGGGTTGCAGGATGAACCTCATGAGACAATTTCAAAGGTCTTTCTAATAATCTGGGCCTATGTGTATGGTGCTGATTTCCACTGCAGAAAGATTTACTCAGGATTACCCAAAGAAGATGGAAAACTGGGTAACAAGATCAGAAGAAATGAGATGTCCCTAAATAAACCAAGGCTCTGGTGTCTGACGTGGATTTAGCTGCCCTTCGCCAAGAGTGCTTTAATTTGTATCACTGTAATCGGGTTAAGAATTATTGTAGCCAAAGTAATTAGCAGCAAGCTACCAACCAGCTTCTTGACACAGAAAGCAAACGGGTTTCTCCTCCAAGTATCTGCCCCCCTGAGGGCTGAGAGGTAAAGAGCAGAAGGAGGGAATTAGGGGTGACCTTGCATTAATGAACAGGAACATGCTCCTGGATCAATGGGCAAACCTGGCATAGCTCAGAGAGGAAGCATCAACTGTGTCATCGAAGTAGCTCTGATATCCATGGGGGTTTTGCAATGGACGCTTATGCAAAAGAGGTAAACACAAATGAGGCTGGTGCAACGGCAAAAAAGAGCTACAGGAAGAGAGAAAGAAGGTGTGAGGATGTAAACGAAAAATAAACAGAGAGATCGCTATGGGGTGGTTTATTTAAAGAGTCCCTACATTTGCATTATTGGATTAAGCATTTTGACCAAAGTTTGTAAAATTTATTTTGGCCAAAAATGACTAATATGAATATTGGCCTCATGCCTGAATAAAGGAATGTAGTTTCTCTCTCTAATCAGGTTGCAACAGATAAAGGCTAAATAGAAATGAGTAATTCACCGTGACTCAATATTACATGGGTTTTATTTTAAGAGCTGAATTTCAAGTGCATTTCTGTTCTTTATTTCAGCTGTGCTATCTTCTGCTCACCCTCGCCACACTGTGTGTCAGCCTGGCTTGGCAAACTGGGAATCATTTTCTTCTATAAGCCTGATGTACTTTTTAGGAGACTGTCTTCCTGGAAGCAAAATCAATTCAAGTATTCAGGAGGCCTCTAGTGGCTCATAGTTTCAGAGGAAGTTTCCTCTGAACCCTAGCATATGAAGCTGGGAAAACATACGGAAGGTCAGGGAAACAAAAGGGACTCCCCACTTGTTGATTAATGCCATTGACAATAAAAAACAAAGCTTGGTCTCTGACTTCAGTATCTAGGAATCTGGCCTTCAAGATCCGAGATACATTTACACAGAATGCTCAGAATGCGCAGAAGAGAACAATAGGGTCTCAGGCTTCTCGGTGTTTTACATGTTTCTAAGCGTACACTGGGA